TTCTACTAAGCAATAATTATTTTACTTAAAATACACACTTTATTAGTTTCCTTGTAGCAGCAAACCTAAGTACTTACTCGTTAAACCTAATGTTTTTTAAATAGATCGATTGAAAATCAATTCAGCCAAATGGAAATTCGCTTAGACGGCAGGTTTGCTGCGGCGGGGGTATTTCCTCCACGTTCCTTCTCTCCCGTTATCATTTGATTTTGTACATAAATATCCCTACTAACTTTGCTTATTACAGTACTACCTCTTGTTCTCCATTTTGTTTACTTCTCTAAGTCCAAGTGTATATGGCTGTGGCGACTAGCGCCACGTCTCGTGAAGCTCCTGCTCGCTAGGAGCACTTCCCCTTGGTAGGTGAGTGCTTAAAAACCCCAAATTCGCAACATTCTTTGATGCCGAGAGCGCTGCAAGTATTTGCTGTTGTTGACGTGTAAAGTGAAGTGATGCATTTGCATTGTTTAGAGCTTTGCGATTGGATGATGATCTGGCGAGGGAATTCCAAAATTTGTACCATTCATTGCCGAGGACAGGACTGCAAGTATTTATTGCTTGTTTTCATCACGCTTCATGCCTCATTGCCCCGCTGGATTAGCCGCCCCAAAACTACCTGGACATCTCGGGACCAGTGGAGTCGTTTTATTGCCCTAACCTTTTTCGACCCTCGGATTACGGGACCAGCTAACCATTACCCAGGTCCACGCCCTTGGGTTTTTACACAATGACCCCAAGCCGGATAACTTCCTCTACTTCACCGAAGGCAAGAAATGGAAGATATGTGATTTCGGCTTGGCCTACCCCGTAAGTGTTCATCTTTAAAGTCGATTAAATACTGTGTGTACCACATACTACATTAACATTAACATACTACATTAACATAACAACAACGTACTAAAATGTTAATAACATTTCGACTTCATCAATTACCAATCTAGGTAAATTCAACGCAGCGAGCATTGTGCAAAACGAACATAGTTAAAAATTAGAATATAATATTTCCCATAAATTAAGTTCCTACTCAACAAACTTTGAATTCAACCCGTTTGGATTAGAGTTTCAAGTCGGGGTTTTCCCATGGACATACCGTCATTCAGTTCAATTGTATTTTAATAAATATCCTACAACCGTGTGAATAAACCGCGTTGGAACTTGAGTTCATATGTGTTTGAAGTCAAAGCACACATTAACACAACCAACAACATGCGTAGAAATTAATTATCTCGTATAAAAATATGTTTTATGTTATATATACGGAACCACCACGCAATCTTTTAAATTGACAAACGTTAGATTTTACTGTAAATTAATTGGTTTTGTGATATAATATTCTATTAAAAAGCCCCTTAGCTGAGTTTGTGTGAGAATGATATCTTACGTGTGCCGTCGATCGGCTCGAATGATGTCAGCAGTTGATTTAATGTATCACTGTAACGCTATTCCAATTATGTTTGATTGCAATTAACCGCATTGCCCTCTGTACAAGGTTCAATAAAACACTCTGACTTAGTTTTTAACTATCGTCCAAAATATTGTTATGGTGACACTTTTTCCCCTTTTTTTCAGATCACCCGCCTAGGCAGCGCAGCGCCTACCCGGAGGTGCGCTTTCACCCCGGGGTATATTGCACCAGAGGCTGCCAATGGTGCCTTGACGTACGGGTAAGTGTGGTCTTTGTGATTGTCTTAGGCCAATCAGTTCGGAATTTATATGTCAAGTCTCCGGAAATTTCTAATAGTAAGATGTTTCCATACTATTTTAATTTGAGAACTGAACGGATAAATATCATATACATGCATACCTTTTTCCCATATCTTTCGTCATACGTTTCGTAAACTTAATTTTTATCTTCATGTTATAACAAACAAAAAAACTCTGTCTGTTACAATAAATGGTTTTTCAATTTTTTTACATATCGCTTGTTTTACTATGCGATGATGGGCTCTACTTCTATACTGTTTTTTGCATTATTAGTATATTTTTTATATGTCACTTGAACTGAAATAAATCATTGTTTCAGCCCTGCGGCAGACTGGTTCGCCTTCGGGAAAACCATTTAAACATACCTGAAGGGGGACCCGGACGACGCCGGAGCGGTCCAACCGCCTCTGCTGGGACAGTTCATTAAAGAGCTGACTGCTGACGAGCCCAATCAGAGGTTGGGTGGCCTCGAAGGGACGTTCGAATTGATCATGGCGCACCCGCACATAAGAGAGGTAATTTTTAAACACTATTCCAAACTTTTTCAATGGCATTTTTTTAATTTTCGCCCTGCGGCAGACTGGTTCGCCTTCGAGAAAACAATTTTAACATACCTGAAGGGGGACCAGGACGACGCCGGAGAGGTCCAACCGCCTCTGCTGGGACAGTTCATTAAAGAGCTGACTGCTGACGAGCCCAGTCAGAGGTTGGGTGGCCTCGAAGGGACGTTCGAATTGATCATGGCGCACCCGCACATAAGAGAGGTAATTTTAAACACTATTCCAAACATTTTTAATTGCATTTTTTTTTAATTTTCAAAACTGATTTATGAACATTTTTAATAGCCAATGAATATAGGTTTCTTCTATCCTCCAATTCTTGCTGGTTAACCCGAAGAAATACGTAAATTTGTAAATATATATATATATATATATATTATAAGATGTTTTATATGGAAATCCACTAAAGACTAAAATCTTGTTTCGCTATAATATTATAAACACTAGCTCTATTGAGAATTCCAATCTACAGTAGTGGAGTGTCGCTGTAACTCATGCCAAGTATAGTGGGTTAATCATAATCATCCCTTGTCTGTCTTAGGATTCTATGGCATGTGTTATTTTTCAGAAAAAAATAGTCTGCAAAGAATGTTCTGCCACGTTCAATAGGAGTTCAGAGTACAACCGCCACAAAAAGGCGTGTGGAAAGCGAACGGAAGTACTCTGCAACGACTGTGGCAAGAACTTGACGTTTTTACTTAGTAAATCTAAACAATTATCTCAATATGAGTGGCAGAGGCCAATCCTTTCCGCCCAGAGGGCGAGGCTACGTAAGTAGGAATTCCGGTGGATATCCCCGAAGTTACAATGATCGCGACGAGAGGAGAGCATACAACACAGTATTAACGAGGATTTACGAGTATTGTTCACAACTCAGCAACACAATTACTCCTGGGAATCAGGAAGTAAAAATAAATATTCCTGACATCTATATCCCCAGAACCGAATACGAAGATGAAGAATGTGAGATCATTCCCGCTGGTACTTTTGGGCCGGTGGATGCAGAAACACACAATGTGTATGAAACACAGTTGTGTCCCTACTCGACCATAACGCTTGTGTTAAATACCATACTTCCTAACCCTCCCCAAAAGTTCAATCTCCTACCTGATGCACTAATACCCGATGGTGGAGACGCGACGGTGGGTGGTGTAAGGTACCAAATTTTAAGGGGGGTAAAAACGTGATACGAATAAATGGACACCAGAATTTACCCGATTTTTAACCACAATAGCCTACTCCGAGGCCTATGTGTTGGTCATAGCTTGGGCTATGGGCCAAAGAACGTAGGCCTATTTTTTTATTCACAGTGAAGTACACAAACACATCCACAACTACATATTTATTCATAATAGCACTTCGTTTCACATAATAAAGTTAAACCGGCCGATTTTACACCGGTTGATATATTCACTGGTTGATAGCTAAAATACGTTTTAATTTACTATTGTCATGTTCACACATTACATTTACGAAGAGTTGTTTTTACTAAGGGGACGTATTTCATCTTGGTGTCATTCGGAGGACACCTAGGAGGAGTCCTACACTTAAGCAAACATTACGATGTCTTTTGGGAGCAACATTAATGACTAGCATATGATCGAGGCTTGTATTTCGGTGGAGGCTGAAGATAATCTCATCAATGATATTAGTGAGACGACTTTAGTCGAAGCCTGCATCAAGGTTGAAGCACGATGTGAGCAAGCGGTAATGAAGACAATGAGCATGACGCAGTTGATGTCTGCAATGAATGATGTAGCTTTTGAATGGCCATTACGTGCATATTGTGACACTCACACGCAGGAGACAGTAAGAATGGCGTTGACGCTATATATAAACCTGGACGCAGAGATAAAAAGCTGAGGACTCTGTTGCTTCCCTTTCCCACGCACTAATTCCGTGTCTAGACAGCATACTTATGTCGGAACATGTGGCAAGGCTGGCGAGGGGTGGGATGGGGTTGGCATCCCTAGTCTCTTCATGAGAAGCTATTTCCACAACACTTTGTTTGTCGGTCCGTCCCCAATCCACCCCAATTACACCGTACCACTCCTCATCCAATCACAATTCATATCCACCTACACCCAGGGTTATCACAACCACTAGTAACTACATAAACATTTAACCACTACAAATCTTGCATTGTCTAGATATTTTATAAATGTAAAAAATGCACTAAATATTAATTACAGAGAAAAAAAAAAAAAAAAACGTACAAACAACGAGAAACAAATTTCTAAAACAATTGTTTTTCAACACATAGGTCCTCGCATGAATCTGCTCACGGACTACATTGCGACACACCCACTCGTCCAGGCGTACATTATGGGAAGGCGGACGAGCTACAACCACATCGGGGTTCCGGTCAACTCCATGACCGGTTCTCGTACCTTGGGCGGGGTCCTTGCGCTCGCTACTCTTCCCAGCGACCCTTGACCCTGTCACTGTACACACCTCGCCCATGGCAACTGTCACAACACGCGTTGTCCCTACGAGAATCCCGTCAGGAAGTTGTGGAAGGACCGGTTCGCCACATGCATAACCAGCCTCGGCAATTCATCTGCCCTCCGCCTCCTCACAATCTACATCCGGACTCACCCTGAAGACGTCGAATACGTCTACGGCGTCCCTTTCCCCATCACCCTCTTCAATACTAAATTACTCCACTTCTTCTATTCGTATACTTGCAATGTGGGCTTTAATTTCAACCGTGACTTTGCCAACATCTTCCTCCGAATGACACGCAGTAGATATAGCAACAAGCTTCTAGCCCCGTTGAACATCCGTGGGAACTCCCCACACACCCGCCTTCGGCCCTACGAGTACACCGGGGCCGAAGTGACACTAATCGAGGAGATCGACGGAGCCCTTCTAAATTCGTATGCCTTCGCTATAGCCCACATCAGAACCCGATCTTTTAGTAGAAACAACCTTCAGGTCCCACCAACAGTTATCATTGAGTGGCTATCTACATTTTCAATACCCCCAGTCATGTTGTTACCGCCACCAGACAACCCCAACACCACAGTCATCTCACACTACCCTCAACTAAACACACGGCTCAGCCTCGAAAACAATGAACAAACTCTTCCTCAGACTCCTCAGGTCACCCCTCACCCAACCTCGACCACCACCCCCCACTCCATATTCCCCCCACACCTTAGCCCACCCCCTACTCGCACTCCCCCAACAATTTCACCCTCCCCTCGTCAACCTTGCCATTTTGCCCATCCCCGTCAGCCTGCCCGTTCCTCCCTACCTGCACAATCTGACATCTCCCAGCCCTCAACGTCATATTGCCTACCACCCACCAACCATCCAGTGCCCTTGCCACGAGCATGGCTTCCCCAGTCAGCTAGAGGAACTCATCAAAAAGGAACAACAACCAACATCAAGTGCTACTAGTAGCGCAATTCAAGAAGTGCAAAGATATCTTCAGCTTTTCAACGTTTCCTTATTTTCATCTTAAACATGAAACTTTAATGCTTTAATGCAACTTTTTTGCAATTAAACTTTGTAGTAGTTCCTTGGTACTTTGTCTTGATGTAGGCTATTCTTTTTGTTAACTTGATTAATGTGTCATTAATGTCATAAAATTGTTTAAGGTGATAAGGTCTTGTATTTCAGTCATTTTCTTACTCGTCGCCAAATTTGAGCCTTTATTAATTTTAGCTTTTTTAGCTGGATTTCAGCTAACTAGACACAAAATTTTACATTAATTTGTAAAATTCTAGAGCAATAATGAACTCTATAGAGAGTAACTCCCACATTGGAGATCCTGCTTTCAGGATCAAGTCCTACCAGAGAGGAAAGAAGTTTCCAAAGGATGGCGGACGAAAGAAGAATCGACCAGCGCAAGACAAGAACATTGACAAAAAGAGAACGGACGCATTCCGTGAATCTAAAGGAAAATAATTTTTAGAAACAATGAATTTGGAATTCCGGAAAACCCTTCCAAATGGCTTCGACAACATCGAAGAAGTCGTTAGTGCGAAATCGTATATTACGATTCAACGTAAGATTCCTCTTCCCATTAAAACTCGTGCTGTCGGACGTGACCAAGCGGTAATGAGAAAATGAGCATGATGCAGTTGATGTCTGCAATGAATGATGTAGCTTTTGAATGGCAATTTCGTTCATATTGTGACACTCACACGCAGGAGACAGTAAGAATGGCGTTGTCGCGATATATAAACCTGGACGCAGAGATAAAAAGCTGAGGACTCTGTTGCTTCCCTTTCCCACACACTAATCCCCGACGTCTTTTGGAAGCGACATTAATGACGAGCAGATGATCGGGGTATCCAGCTTGATATGAATGACGTGGCCGCGGAAGACAACGAGAGGTATCCAGCTTGATATGGATGACGTGACGGCGGAAGACAAAGAGAGGCCGTGCATCGCGTGTGCTGTTAACTCCAGAACGTACATGGTCGAGCCATGCGGCCACCTCGCCTTGTGTGGACGATGTGTTGCCATCCATTGTATCACTGTGACAATTGTAGGTGGTGACAGGCGTGCTATTAGATGCCCAATATGTCGGACGACTGTCATAAACTACCGTAGAGTTTTCCAGTAATGGCATTGTATACATCGTCGCCCATCTTCCATATTAAATGCTTTTTTACTACCTTTCAGGAGAACCAAAATAAGTAATTTGCACTTATTTACTGGTTGATAGCTAAAATATATTTTTATTTACTATTGTCATGTTCACACATTACATTTACTAAGAGTTGTTTTTACTAAGGGGACGTATTTCATATTGGTGTCTTTCCTCCTCCAACACTCCAGCAAACATTACGATGTCTTTTGGAAGCGACATTAATGAAGAGCAGATGATTGAGGCTTGTATTTCGGTGGAGGCTGAAGATAATCTCATCAATGACGAGATGACTTGAGTCGAAGTCTGCAATGAATGATGTAGTTTTTGAATTGCAATTACGTGCAATTACGTATATTGTGACACTCACACGCAGGATACAGTAAGAATGGCGTTGCCGCGATATATAAACCTGGACGCAGAGATGAAAAAGCTAAAAAATCTAATAAAATTATTATTAGAAGGATTAAGTTAGATATAATATATTAATGATTGACTACTGGTTCCTTATATTGTTCATTAATAATAAAAAATTAAATTATTATAAAACGGCGGCCCTACTCTCTTAATGAGAAGCTATTTTCACAACACTATTGTAGGGCAGGAGTACACTCCTCCACCTACCCCATGTGTACTATTCTATAATTACTCATTACCATTACCGAACTGTAATTAATCATCTAAAAAGTAATTGTAATCATTCATAAAAAAAATTTATTACTCATAACATGCGGAATGGGGAGGCACCTATAGAACTGAATAATTACTCCTACTGAGGCAGTAACCTATTTATAATTGTCAACATAATAATTCTAAAATAATTCTGGTAGAGGTTGTAATAAATGCGTTTTAAATTATCATTGTACTAATCTCGGGAATAGCTCAAAATTCAGTCCACATTATGGAACTGGTAAAATTGCGTCGCAATATAGACCAATCAGCAACTCAAATCGCTATCATAGAAAGGAGCTTATGAAATAGATAGGCCAACCACTGACTCGCCGAACTCACGGGGCTGGCAGGGCCCAAACCAAAGTTGTAGGTTGTGTATCAGCAAGTGCACAGGTTTTTCAACCCCACATTGTGTTCAAATAACTTCAATGTTCAGTCAGACAAGAGTGGAAGTCAGAAACCTACCCTCAAACAACATATGACAACCATACCAAAGTCTCACTTAGTGTTAGTGGGTTCCCATCGCCACAGCCTTCACCGCAGCCTTCGCCACAGCCTTCACCGCAGCCTTCGCCACAGCCTTCGCCACAGCATTCACCACAGCCTTCATCAGAAGGTAAGAGTCTATTGTCAAACAAGCAATGATGGTAAAATTAGTGAAAACGGGAAATAGGTTATTCAACGTTTTAACCAAAATTCTGACTAATGACTTGGTTTTAGAACCAATTTCATATTTATATTTTGTATGCACTTTTTAATGGTATTTTTAAGTTATAAAAACTCTTTCAGGCTTATCCCATACTATATGTGTTGATGGAGCGGAAAACTAATGCGTCATACCGCAGTGTATTCGACTATATGAAACAAAAATGGCCACTTATCAGTCCAAGAGTGGTCATTACAGATTTCGAAAGAGGTCTGCAAGATGCAATTGTTCAAGCATACCCCAAGGCAGCTGTAGTGGGCTGCTGGTACCACTCGGCCGATGTAAGTAACAAAGTCAAAATACAAACAAAGCCTACTAAAAAAATGGTCTCTCTCTCTCTCTCGTTTGGCCTTAAGGTTTGCTGTGGCATTGTGTTGTCAACAAAAACATTTAGTAATTATAATTTCACTATTTAAACAGGCGATGAGGAGAAAGGCCAGAAGACTAGGCCTAACAAACATTTTTAATCGAAGTCCAGCTGTCAAGAAGGCAGTGCATATGGCGATGGCATTACCTCTCCTGCCACAAGATAAAATAGGAAGTGGTTTGGATGAAGTATGCGATTACGTGGAAAGAAACGGCCTAATAGAGGAGCTGCAGACATATTTAAATTACGTTCGCCGCACGTGGATAGAAGGTAAATAGGATTGGGGTTATACCTTTTAACGGTGTTTTTACATTTATCATGTTCATTATTATTTAGATTAAGAAATAGCATTGATTATTAACGGCAATTCACTCTTCAATATGCGATGGGTTGTTCAGGGTGTCCACAGAAAATTTTTCATTGATTTCCATGACTTTCCAATGACTATCCATGACCATTTACTATCGATTTCCATGACTCACGAATTTTACTCAAAAATTATAATGTAACATACACACACAAAATACTGCCTAGACAAGTTATTTCACAGAAAATACTTAAATATGTATTTAACAGATAACAATAGAGTAATAAATTTTGTAAAAATAATATGGTATTCAAAATATGGAAGGAAAAAAGAAAACGCAGTCTACTCCGTCCCCATAGCTGGTTAGTTCTCTCTACTCTTTCTTTTTTCCTTACTGTATACTTTTTATTATTAATTTTTTATTGATTTTACAGTGTTTCAAAAAATTAGGTTATCAAAATAGACATAACTTAAGACGAATCAAAACATTATAACAATATTTGTATTGAAGTTTGAGTTGTAATAGTATTTGTGTTGTAAGCTGTAATAAATTTAATTGTTGTGAATTTATGAAAAATTCAGAAAAATGCTACAATAGTCGGCGTTGTGGCCGACTAGAGCATTAAGTCCTGTCAAATCCATCCATTATTGGGGATTTCCATGACTTTCCATGACTTTTTGCCTATTTCCATGACTTTCAATGACCAGAATTTTTTTCCATGACTTTCCCTGACTATCCCTGACTTTCCAGAATGTGGACACCCTGGTTGTTGTTGTACAGGGAGCGGCAAAATGATCTGACGGTTTTCTTTGCCGCCATGTCGAGCGAATGAGTGGCGTATGGTGGTGGGAATAGGGGCGTTACAAAGCCAACGTGTGGACATTTTTAGTAGCCATGGAGCCGTGGGATAGCTGAGCAACATGTATTTGTAGTAGAAGTGTTTTTAAAAGTGGACATTCCTGTGTAGCTGTTCAGTACACGTTTCAATGTGGGTGAAAGAAGAAAAGTCCCAACTCTCGGATTGGCATAAAGGTTAACTGTAAATGATTTCCTTTATTTGCAGACGGAGATAATATACAAAATTAGGAAGAAGTAATTTGAACAATATACATAAAAGAATGCAGTTCATCTGATAAGCCTTACCGTGAAGCCATTATCCCCGTGAGTGACTCATGGAATAACTAATCCTGCGTGATTCGCTTGAACTAAACAGGCTCCATCCACGATAATCACTGAAGGCATTTGCCTTAGTTTGTAGGTGTAAACATACTTTACCTCTTTCGGAGCTCAGTGGAATATTAACAAATTGACTTAGGCCTAGTTTTAATGTTATCGATAAAGTACTAAAAAACATTATTTTACAAGCTAATTACTAACTAGTAATTAAGACATTTTTTACAGAAAATATTTGTTCTTATTATTTTCAATATTCAATACACATATTTTAGCTCTCATCAATATTTGTTTCAATAGTTTGTCAATTTCTCACTCAGTTTTGACTCAAGATTCACATTACATAGGATTTGATCAACCGTGACAAATACTTGATCAACCTTGATCAAAACGTGATCAATAATTGATTAATACTTTATCAAAACATGATCAACTTTGACCAATACTTGATCAAAAACGAATGTCAAAAAGATTTTTCGTTTAGGCACTTACCTTATTTATTATACTTACTTGATAAAAACTTACACCGCGTCCCGTAAACATCGATAGCATATTTCTCTATTGAGGCGGAGCATT